GTGCAGAATGTAAGATTGAAAAAAAATGCACCTCATTAAATATCTCACTTTATTTTTTATGAGAAATTTCTGATGAGAAACTATTAAGAATGACTTTTATGCCAGCTATTTATTCACTTTAATTGGCATGCCATTCAAGTCATGATTAAATAGCTTGTTAATTATAATATTGTGGGATACTTTATCAAATGTTTTGGTGAAATCAAGGTATGTATACAGCATGCCCACGGTCTGTTAAATAAGGCCAGTCTGTGAAGGCTTTTCCATGATAAAATTTTATGTGATGAATTTTAATGTTTGCCTTGTTTTCTATGAACAAACCAATTTTTAATTATCTGCTCTACAGTTTCTCAGGTATTTTGGTAGACTGAATAATTCTAGTTCCCTGCATTCTCTCTTCATTTTGAAGATGGGGACACTTGTTTTCCATTGGTCATCTGGTAGCAGGTCATCTACTCACTAGTGGTCCTCCAAATGAAAACCTAAAAAATCTGTTATTGTTTGGAATTTGGACTGTGATTAAAGTAAATCCCAAATCCTGTTCATCCAAACATATGCACATAATGTTATTGGTAGCACAAACTTTGAAAAGTGCCTTCTACATTGAGATATATAACAAAAGAAAAGGAGAGATGAAGTAAAATAAAAGGTATTTAAAAATAATGAATTATATTCTATGCCTAGCTCAGTTTGAAGATACCATTCTTTCGATCAATCAGTCATTTGGAATAAAGTAAGGAAAAAGCATTAACTTCTCTATTTACAATAAATATGTCATAAAGCTTTATTTTCATAAACCTGTTGTACCTAATCCAGTATTTTATTCCTTTTTAATTTTTTTATTCCAATGTAATAATATTAACACGTTAAAAAGCATTTTGAATAACCTTTCATAATATTAAAAGTGAATATAATCACACAAAGCATGCATTAACTTTTCACCGCAGGAACTAATCTTTCTTTAGACTAGACTAGATTCCATTTTCATAATTCATCCTGGCCACAGACATCTTGGGAGATCCCTTTTGAATCTCAGAAAGTCTGCTAATTGCTACTGATGAGAGGTGAGAGATTCTTCATGATTAATTACAATGCATGCTCAAATGATTGAAAGAACACGTGAGTTTAACTCATCTGAAAATGGATCGAAGAGAAAGAATTTTAAAAAAATGTTTGCTACTAACATGCACATAGTGGGAGTGGGGGAAAAACAGTAACACAACCAAAAAGCATAGAGTGATAGGCATGATGGCTTTATTCAGAACTGTGGGGCTAAACCATAGACCATGAGTATGACACCTTCAAAATATTTTTCAATTTAGATTTCAGGTTGGGGTTCTTTTTTGGGTTGCCCAAACCTGATTTTGCCCTTCAATTTATCAATCACATTGCTAAATAAGAAAAAAAAAGCTATTTGAAAGAGAAATCATTGAAATAAATTTAATCTCAACAGTTAACATGGGAGATTCAATTTTACACTGGAATTAAATTGGATATAAATACCTCCTGCTCTTACCAGTGAGTGGTGTTATTCCATGTATTAAGGTATGAAGCAGACAAGAAAAAGATAAATCTTTCATAAGTACAACATATAAAAGACAGTTGGTACAACAACCTTGCATTAAAATTCGATTGGTTATTTTCCCTTAAATATATGGAATTTCATGGATGTAAGAAGTACCATATTACAAAATGCTGCTGAATTATGTTTAGTGCTGCATTTGGATTTGAAGCAGGAATCTCATACCTGTTCACGTACATGCAATAGCAACTAGATTGGTTAACTGACATACCACCCAGCGTATTGATGAATATGAGATGAGAAGCCATTTAAGATTGCTTTTCGATACACCAAATCTTACACCTTGTACTATTCAGCTGAACAAATATTAAGCAATTTAGCAATGTTAATTGGAGTAACTGGATGTCACTTCTTTTAAATATATACTAAACATGGCTTTGATAGAGACAAATCAGTTATTTAATAACCTCACAAATAATAGGTTGGTTTCAAACCAAGTCAAATAACATCTTGTTGTCTCCAACCATTTCGTGAGAGCTTTGACAGTTCATTTGATAGTTCAATTATACAGATAGTTCTCGACTTACAAAAATTACATATATACAGGTAGTCCTTTATTTACAATTATTCATTCAGTGACTGTTTGAAGTTACAAAGGAACTGAAAAAAGCGATGTATGTCTATTTTTCACACTTATGACCATTGCAGCATTCCCCATGGTCATGTGATCAAAATTCAAACACTTGGCAACTGAACCATATTGATGACAGTTGCAGTGTCTTGGGGTCATGTGATCATCTTTTGCAACCTTCTGACAAGCAAAGTCAATGGGGAAGCCAGATTCACTTAACAACTGTGTTACTAACTTAACAGTTGAAGTGATTCACTTAACAACTGTGGCAAGAAAGATCCTAAAATGGGGCAAAATCCATTTAACAACTTCCTTGCTCAGCAACAGAAATTTTGGGCTCAGTTGTGGGCTCCTCATAAGTTGAGGACTAACTGTATTCTTTTAATAATTCTCATCATGTGAATGTTGGTACTAACAGTGAATTCTGCCATTTTAGACATTGGTGTAGAAGTAAATTTCACTGTTTTCTATACATCTTCGCTCAAGTATAAACTAGGTATATTAACTGTTGCAGAAACTAGACTAAATTAGGGTGTTTTTGATGATGAGTTTTCCTGATTTGGCATATTTATTGTTGCTTTCATATTGACAGCACAACTTAAAAAAGACACTGTAGGTTGAAAAAAAACCCTTTTGATATTTTTTTCCCTTTTCAAATTTTAAGCCCATCGCACAAAATCAGCCATTCCATTAACTGCCTTGGGGAGTCCAAAATCAAGCATAGGGAATGAAACACAATACCTCCCTGAAAGTAATTTGTATACCTGTTGCTGAATTCAACTCCACCCCCAGTTTACTGGTCAATCTTCTAAAATATTTTATTTTTTTGAATGGTACCTGCAGAGGAAGATGTTGGTTGTGCAGTATTTCAGTTCTGATTCCCAGAAAAACAGAACCTCTGGGTGGCTCCTTAATCTTGCAGGGACTCGGGATGGCACATCAGCCTTTTGCACTTCCCGGGCAATCCCAGGTAATAGTGCAGATGCATTGAAGGCTTGCAGGCACTTATTGTATGCTCCCGGGCCTTCTAAAGAACCTTTTGGAATCAGATATGAAACACTGCACGGTTCCAAATAGCTATTTCTGTTTATGGCTCACGATAACATACAGCTTCAATATCTTCCATGTGATCTTGTTTAAACTGATTTTTTTGTTGCAGTATTTATAGCTTCAAAGGCAGGAGTCAGTACTGTAGTCTGACATGGAAGGCCTTGTGGGATATTGGGTTTTTCTTGAAGAAAGTGAATTGTGAGCCTGCCTTCCCACAATGATGGAAACAGTGGCTCTGTTTAGAATCGTAGTTGATTAGATTGACTGTGAGAACAGGGCCGTTAAAACACATTTCAGCCATGGCTTTATATCAACAACAATGTAATAATTGTGGTTTAAAAGGTGATTTTCAACGCACCCAAGGATTTGGTGGGTTTGCCTGAAAGTCTCATGTGCTGTATGGCAAACAGCTTTGGAGACCTACTTCAACTTCGGAAATGGATGGTTGTTTTAAAAAAGTAACTTATGACTCCGCTTTGAGAAAAATACGGGCATGGCTTCCCTCATTCATTCATTCACCCATGGACTAGATGACCTACAAGGTCCCTTCCAGCTCTGTTAATCTGTTAATTTACTTTTTATTTAAACCAGAATACAGTTATTTTATCAGGGTTTTTGGTGCTCTCTGAGCTTGTTTGTTTACTTGCAGACTTTTCATTTCATTAGGTAACATCATCAGTACTGGACTACCAAGCTCAGAGGGCACCAAGGACCCCTCATTTCAACCCTGAGCTACAAATATTATTCTTTATTGGTAACTATTTTATCACCTTGTTGGATCCAAATCTTGACCAGATGGATCGATTTTACCTCAGCAAAGTCCTTTAGTATTGGTGGCATTTGGATCAGACTTAAAGCCTCTTAATTTAGAATTAAACTGTATATTTTATGAATATGTATGCTCCTCTCCTCTGTGGGAATATTTGACTGTACTGAAATACACCCTTGGATGGGACTTGATGACTTCCAAGGTTCCTTCCAAGTCTGTTATTGTTAATATGTGAATACGGTTAAAAAGGAAGAACACCAGAGCATGATAGATATTTTTCTGCCTGTTTTTTTTTTTTTATTAAAAAATATTGCAAGCACATATTTTTGTGTATGTATACACCCCTAGCGGCTACTCTGGAAAAACAGCTGTGTGTACTACGGCCTGGAATGAGCAAAAAGGAAGAATTATCTCCTTTGGGATTTGGGATTCATCTTTCAATTGCTGCTTTTGAGCTGACTTTCCATTGAAAAAAAGAAAAGGAAATTACAAATTATATGGTATAATTTGACCTTTAAGTATCTTCCTTAAGGCATGTGGAGAATGGTATTTCCATCACCCATGGAATATATTTTGGCACTTACTATGTATGAAGTTGTGTCACTTTCAGCAAAACAACAACAACAACAACAACCCGGCCCTTATCATTTTATGGAGCAAGGCTTGATTTTTAAGCAATTCTAGAATAATTGCTCATGCAATCTTTGTCAAGAGATTTTGTATACAGCTCACATTTAAATATCTACAAGTTACTTCCTCCAGTCAAAATTGGCTGTTTTTCAAAGTATTATGCTACAGTGTCTTGATATTTATTTATTAAAACAATGCATACGGCTGTCCATCTTCCAATACAATTCAGAAACAGGCTAAGAAAACATAAAACCACAGAAAACAACATTAACGAAGAGTTAAGTGTGGCTATGGTTGGAAATAAAGCCTTCTACTACCATCCAGCTTGGTTTTCTTTCTTTTCTAGTTGGGTTTGTACATGTTTGTGTGCAATGGGTGCTATAAGCAAACGTACATACCATGTTCATGTCAATGCCATTGGTGTACGTCCACGCATGCTGGAAATATTCTTCGAGCCTCTGCCTCAGTGGGTTGGGAATCTGATGAAAGCGAATGAACTCTTTCACACGTAGCATCTGCATGTGATACCGTGCCGTTCCAGAATATAGCCTTTGGATTATTGCAGATACGTTTCCAAAAATGCTTGCATACATTAATGCTGGGGTTAAAATAAAACCAGAAAACAAGCGGTTGGCTAAGATCATTGTACCCATACAAAATGACTTACATAGCTTAAAATATGAGTAATACAACAGTATTTTTTTTTTAAAAAACTCACATTTTACAGAGGAGGTCACTGAAAGGGGCACCTCTTGCCACTTACCGTATTTTATGGACTATAAGATGCACAGGTGTATAAGATGCACCAAGATTTCGAAGAGGTAAGTAAGAAAAAAAAAGTTTTTGTCTTCCCTGTGGAGCACTCCACAGGCTTCAGCAGAGCTAGGGGAAGGCAGAAACATCCCCATTTTTCACCAAAATGTGGGCATTTTTCCCTTCCCCCAGCCCTGCTGAAGCCTGCAGAGTGCTTCTGGGGGGTGGGGGAAGGCAAAAATACCCCCGTTTTAGTGAAAAATGGCCTGTTTTTGTCCCATTTTTCACATAAATGGAATGTGGGGGTGGGCCTTCGGGCGGCCAAAAATGGCTGTATTCGGTGTATAAGACGCACCAACATTTCCACACTCTTTTAGGGAGGGGAAAGATGCATCTTGTATTCCGGAAAATATAGTACATAAATTGCAAAAACTAGGAAACAAGGATTGTCCCAATTAAGTACGCAGCCATGGCCACTTCTCCAGGCGCCACTTAGAGGCACTGGATCAGACATCATGGAATGACAATCTAATGCTCCATTTCTAAAAATAGGCTAGGTATAAAGAGTACCCAAAGTTGTTTACAATTACTGGATGAATCACTCTGCCTAAAGCCAATGGGACAATTCCTACAAAGCTGCAATTTACAGGACTTCTAACGTGTTCTAACATGCATCGGTAACAAAAATTCAGATATGCTATTAGATATTGGATCAAGTTGTTTTTTTTCAACAACACTGTGAGAGAAAAAAATATTTTTCCTCCAGATATGTGCCAAAGAGTATCTTTATTTGGATGTATTATGTCAAGAATGCTGTTCTGCATCCCCCCCCCCTTGCTCCTGGCATGGACCTGCTCAATTATGCCAACTACTCAGATCAAGGTTGGCTAACCTCTCTCACCAGTCAACGATGATGGGCTGTGATATTACCCTGGCTTGGTTTTTAATAGTTTAATGATGAAATAAATCATATGAGAGGCCAAACAATATTAAGTATTTAAAACAGTTGGTCAGAAGAAAAGTTCTGCTTTTCATTGGACTGCATCCAACAGAGTTCTGGCTGTGGATTTTTCTTTAGTTGCTCTCAACTCTGCTTCAGAGGAATCTCCTAAATGGAGTGGATTTGGGAGTAGACAGGGCAAGATGAATCCATTATAACCAGTCCCCAATAGATACAAATTGCTGAAATGCCATGTTTCCCTGAAAATAAGACAGGATCTTATTTTCTTTTGAGTCATGAAATAAGTGCTTGGCCTTATTTGCGGGGAGGTCTTATTATTTTTGAGGTGCAAGAAGCAGCAAGCGTGGTCACCTCATGGCTGCTGCTGTGTTGCAATATTTTTGGGGAGAGCTTATTTTCGGGGGAGGGTTTATTTTAGCGCATGCCCTCAAAAGCCCAACTTGGCTTATTATCCCAGGAGGTCTTATTTTGGGGGAAATAAGAAAATTGGAGCAGGTTATTTCTAGTCTCATGATATACACTTTACCTCCAAAATATTTTGGGTTCGGTTCTTGCCATCAAATATACCTGATAGCCTGGAGATTCTTACATGCTAATCAAATAAATGTAACCACTATTTATTCCAAACACCTAGTTGCCCAAGTCTGCATGACCACAAACAGCAAGACATATGCCTGGCTCAAGAAATTGTTTCCTGATTGCTTATTTGTACCCTATGATTATCATTGTTGTACCTTTGTTGTCTTTTTATGTCCACTGAGAGCATTGCACCAAAGAAAAATTCCTTGTGGGTCCAATCACACTTGGCCAATAAAGAATTCTATTCTATTCTATTCTATTCTATTCTATTCTATTCTAAAATATACAGTAGATGACCTCATTTATGACCTTATGATTGTTCTGCAAACAATTGCACGGACTTTGTGGATTGGAACACATACTTGGAACACATACCCATTTGCACTGAGTTTAGTTTCACCAGACTGACATCTACCTTCACCTTTAAAGCACTTAATGTTGCTTGGAATTAAAATGCCCCAAAAGAGCTAAACAGAAAAGGATATAAAGGGGGCATGAAGTCACAAAGAAAGCATTCAGTGCTGTGATTGTGGAAAGTTCTTTTTTCTAAAGCCTCCTGTGGAACTTCTCCACAATTGGTTTGGATAAAGGCAATGGAAGAAAAGGTGGCAAGCATACATGAAACAGCACACCACTTTGCAATATTACAACAGTTGTATGATGTGTCACCGCTGAGACAACACATTTTAGGACTGAACCATTTGTGTCATCTTTTTAAAACACATTCTAGTTCCATTGATATTTGTAACTGCCCGCCTTATTTTTTAGATCAGGGTGAGCAATTTATTTTTGGTTTGCCTGCCCTGGTTAAGGGCAGTTGTGGTATAACCAAACTTTTAATAAAATTACTTAATATCAATCCCCTAAAACAGAGACTGGTATAACAGTAATATTGGTCAGCTTAATTTGTCTCAAAATTCTCACAAGTAGGGAAAAATATTTAGGGAGTTCAAGGGGTGTCACAAATCCTTTTAAACTACCTTCCAAACACCCCTGCCAGGCTTGAACCACAAGATCTACATGTAGAGTTTAAACTAGCTACTTTATTATCCTATGCCCTATTCACAGGAATCTTCCCAGGCTGGCAATTTGTCCCTAGATAAAGTTTGGTGGAAGATGTGTGTATGTTAGATCTTGCCTTCTTGTGCTTATGTAATGATTACAGACTAATTCCCTGTTTGACACCTTCTCCCAACTGGGACAGTTGTTCTCCAACGCTTTCCAATGCAAAAAATAAATAAATCTGAATAATTCCTTTTTTTGGGAGGGAGGGGTGTTGTTATTGTTCTTGAGAACTAGAATTAGGGTGCTAGGAGGTCACATGTGGCATAGGGACCATTTTAATAGGCAATGAATATAGGGGCGTCTCCTCTAAGACAGTCATGATGTAAATATTGTGGCATAGAATTATCATTCTATAGGATATAAGTGCACATACATGATCTATGCAAGGCACCAAGGCCTTTTTTGCATTTTCTAGTCTCCTCCCTTCGACTCTTAGTTAAAGTTAGTGGATTTACATCTGAATAATATGAGTGGGTAGAAGAAGTAAAGACTCAATTTAAAGGGGAAAATGGATGAAGTGTAATGTGATCACTTCCCCCATGCACAACCCTTTTCAGTCTTGATCACACCTATTTCCTGATTCCTCCCAGAAAACCTCCTCCCTAAGTCCTGCTGAATTGTGGTGGGAAGGTGGGATCCATTTCTGTTTTCTTTCTCTCTTCTTTCAACTGTCAGGTTCCGGGAAATAAAAAACAGGACACCAATGCTGTATCTAATCCTTGTTTATGTAACTAGTACTCACTGACCACCCACTGTGATTACAATGGAAAAAATTGTTGGCGCTAAAGTTCCGTGCTCCCCACTATTTTATGAACCTTTCCCCTGGCCCCACACAGGCTCCTTGTGTGAAACCCCTCGCCCAGCACTCAACTAGTTATTCCACCCAATTACTAAGCTGCAGGCCTTCTAATGTCCCTAGAAAACTCCTTTCCCCCTTGTTAAGTCTTCCCATCAATCATGATTGCTCCAGGCTCCACTGCCTCCATTAGCCGGCTTCTGCCCCCCTCCCCTTTGTGTGTCGGTTAAGGCTGTTGGTAATGGCTGCTGTCCCAGCAGAGAAGAACTGGGGGTGAGTCACCACCCTCCTGTTGGCAGCCTGAATGCCCAGGCTGACATCAACAAGAGGCAGTTATATGATCACATCTAAGGCTGGCCTAATTCCCATCTGTGTTTGGAGGTATGCCAGAAGTATGAGGAGTCTTGAATTTGCAAATCTTTAGTCATTTCTACATGTCCCAGGCTCATCCCATTTTGGGGTTTCTCCTCTGGAGAGGCCTCTTGTCCCTCTCAGAGATTATTTTTCTTTGTCCATTAAAGGGTACACCCATAGTATTCAAGACCTTTTGATATTAGAGAGTGCAGGATTACATTATTTACTTCAGTTTACAAAATTTGATAGACTAAATAAGCAATAGCTGTAATATTATTTTATAATTCTTGCATGTGGGTACAATTTTGGACACAATGGTACAAACAATTCTTGTATTTTCAAAGAGTAAGGTGGAGGAAACTACTGTTCTGCAATATTGTGTTCAAGCCAGAATATTTCAGTGAAAGATTACCTTAATTACAGATACCTAATTTTACTATTATTAAAATGTACAAGGATTACATAGTACCTATAGGGCAATGCTTAGAAAATATTAACCACTTAGAAAAGTTGCTTCAAATTCTTCAATGGAAAGCTATAAAATGTGGCGTGGTATCTAATATAACAAAATGAGAGGATACTATTTTTACTGCCTTGCAGAAATGAAATGAAAAAGACAGAGGAATGCAGAAAGTAGATTCTGTGTCAAGTTTAGAGACGTCATTGACTCAGAGTTATTCTTGAGGGTTATTTATTTATTTATTTATTAATTTAATAATAAAATTAAATAACAGGCTTATTTATTTAATTCTTTTAATTTATTTGCTGCCTACCTCACCCGCAGGGCAACTCTGGGAGACTTACAATTAAGACTCATTGTGTTAGAAGGGTCTATTAGGCCATTGAGATCAATTTCACTGTAGATTTTCAATTTAAAGCATCTACCCAATAGATGGCCATCTAGGTTCTGCATGGACACATCTACTGAAAAGAATTTCATCAGTGGACTTCAGTGTTGAACATTTTTACCAACATTAAATTGAAATCTGTCCTTTATTCTGTGTTATACATACAGATACCTTGATTTCATTTCTGTGTGACACCATTTTGGGTATTTGCACACTGCTATTACATCACCCTTTATTCTTCT